TGTTAGAATAATTTAAACTATTTAACAAATAAATAACATTGAGCCAAATTTATGGCTAATAAAAACTATGTACACATCACCAAAACCACAGGCAGTGCTGTATAACACTCCACATAAGTATGCTTCTTGAACATTTATGTAAGTTACTAGACAGTTCACAATAACAACAAATTATTTGTTCACTCAACATCAGGATTTCAATAGATACATTATAATTTGTGTGGCCAAATTTCATCATCGAATTCCCTTAAACATGCTCGGAGCAGCCTTAGAGTCTCTTATCTCTTTCTTCTTCTTGGCAGGATCAAGAACAAAACATTTCCACAATCTTAAGGTTTCATCTGCACCAGCAGACAACACTGTGCTTCCGTCTGGACACAGAGCCAGTTGCAAGACCCACTTTTTGTGGCCAGTTAATTCAGCAACCTGGAATTAATTTAAGACTTGATTTATTTAACTTAATCAATGCTCTAATTTTATTGGTAAAATTATGCAAGGACCAGTTCTCCTGCTTTGGGGTTTGAAATGGGGCCAATAAACTCTTGCAGTAAAAATACACACTGACTCTGGCTGCAGAAGTGGTATGGTATTCGTATTGCGTTAGTATGGTGTTTGGACGACAAGATCCAGTCTGACATTTAGATGAAAAATAATTTTTGGAAATACTTTATAAATTTGTACAGGGACCTCACAATTTATTAACGTCTGTGGTCTCTGTACAAATTTAAAATATTCACCCAGTGCAATGATGAAAATAAAAGAGTTTCAATCCAAATTAATAGGCATTTAAGGATCATGATTCTTATGTTAAATAGTAAAATCCTGAACTACTATATTAATGGCAGCAGAGATGCGATTTTTAAGAAGCATAGACTGAAAAACTAAAAGAGATTGGATAAAAAATAAATAAAAGAGAATCTAAGTTAAATGTCATGGAAGAGAAACTAACAAAGAACAGAATTAGATGGTATGGGCAATGGTTTATTAAGAATGAATAATAGACAAATCCCAAAGAAGGCTTTGAACATGAAAGTGAAAGGAAAATGTTCACAATGGAGGCTGTGATAAAGATGGGAATGACAGGTTAAGAAACACAACAGAGAGAGAAGGAAGGTCAAGAGCAAGAAACATAGGAGTTGTAGGAAGGCAGACACTGATGGTTGGACATGGTCATCAGACTTTAGAGCAGAAATATCTTGTGAGGAAAAAATGCCTTTCAACCCTAAAACAAAATGGAGACAAATTGAGAGGCCAGGAAAACCACCCCATTTTCTTCTTTCATTCCCTCAAGCATGGCAGAGTAAAGGTGGTGGGAACAATATCAAAATAAATATAAGTTACAAAGTTTGCCACGACAGTATTGGATAAACATTTTCTGAGATTTCAGGTTCTCATGGGATGGGTTGTTGGTGCCATGTACTGCGGCATAAGTACGTATACTGACTCATGATTTATGATGAAGTAAATAGAGAGTGGGGTAGGAAGACTTTTGGTTACAAAATGTTTGCTAGTGGGTGCCTATCTGGGCATCAGAAACATCATGTTTGTGGTCAGACAGGAAGATAATAATGGTATTAAAACTGCCTGTTTTCACAAGCATGTTCTACAAGAATTAAATGTCAGCCACAGGATGTTCAAAATTAAGTGTGAAATAAATCTATCTTCTGACTAACCAATTATACCGGGTCTACAATTTATGCTGTAACGGCCTTGCTTGCATTGCGTGCTCGGCCGAGTGCACTGTTGGTGTGGGATAGAGATAGCGTGTTCTTCCCGTGAGTCACAGGCGAATCAGTTTCAGTGCCGCTAGTAACAGCGAACTACGAATATTTCTCGTCACTAACACATGTTATTACATTAATTTTCTTACCTTAAATCACAAAAGATGTTCAAAGTGACTTCCTTGTGCTTGCAGGCAAGCTTCACATCTCGTTAACATGTTTCGAAATACTTGACGAAGCTCTTCTTGGGAAATTGCCGAAATGAATTGTGGTTTCCTGTTCTTCTTTTTATCCAAAACTGATCCCGTACTACAAATTTTTTTTATTAATCTCTCTATCGTGGGCCTGCTAGGAACACTTTCACCGGGAAAATGTCTGCGATATTTACGGCGGCATCTTCCGTAGGATGAATATTTGGCATATGTTTCGACTAAGAACACACGTTGCTTAATACTGTACACCATATTATCAACGTCAATCCGCGACGAGAGACGCAATGAAACTGATTCGCCTGTGACTCACGGGAATAACACGCTATCTCTATCCCACACCAACAGTGCACTCGGCCGAGCACGCAATGCAAGCAAGGCCGTTACAGCATAAATTGTAGACCCGGTAATATCTCGATATTATGTCGGAGGGAATAAACAGAACAATGTTATGGTTGGCCTATGATTCATTCCCGAGACTCATAGAATAGTTGTGTTTGTAACTTCTCTTAAAACGTATCTCTACGAGGTAGTTTTAAATAATTCAAGTATCGTAATTTAAATCACAATGTGCTGTAAGAAAAGTTAAAATTAGAGCTACAAAGTTAGTGTACAATTTCGACCTTCGGGGCAAACACCGTCGAATGATGAACGTGAACGTACATCGTCAAGCACTGCAGTTGCAATGTTTGGAGTGAATATCTGTGGGAGGATAATTTATTTATTTCGTGTGTATTTAACGACCCTGATAGAAGGTCCGTACAGTAGCATCAAATGATGGAAATATTAATGAACACTAAACTGGGAACGATGTGTAAGGAAGCTGTCGCGAACCTGCCTGTGTAGTCGGTCTCGTGTTCGATGTGTTAAGCCCACGGGCGTAAACATTACATTGTCACTTTATTTTGTATGTTTGCACGCTTTAGGGAAATGTTTATGATGCACATTTCTGTATAACTCAGGACAGAGTTCAGGAATTTAATCTAACCTAAGTCATATTGAAAACAGCAGGTAGCTGGTTTAAAAGAAGTAGAAACAAGTTTATTCAGAGCGTCTTGAAGTTAGCCATCCTAGTCAGAATTCCAACCTACTCTCAGCCATTATATGAGTAATGAGAAAATCTGTAAAAAGACAAAGTTAGCTTCTTCAAAAAATGTTACCACATGCCTTACACTGATCAAGTAATTAAATACAAATGTCTTAAAGCTGCTATTTATTTATTTTCAACCACTTCCCTGTTATTTGGGAAAATTACTGTTCCAGAGTGCTCAGTGCGGTGTAACCTACTTCAACTGAAATATCAGAAATAATCATATAACGGAATTAATATGATAGAGTACGACATCCACTCATCTCACAAATAGGAAACTACATCATCAAGTATCCACTTACCTGAGAGAGTATAATGGCTGGGGTTGTGAGAAAGTCTGTCCTGCCACAACTGGCCATATGTAAAGCATATTGTCATTCCCACTACTTACCTGAGAGAGTGTAATGGCTGGGGTTGTGAGAAAGCCTGTCCTGCCACAACTGGCCATATGTAAAGCATATTGTCATTCCCACCACTGGCTAGATACCTGCCATCTGGCGACCACTTTAGTCCACAAACCTGAAAACAGTGATGTTACCAATAACACATCTAATATAAATGATGTTATGACCGTGGGAGTTTTCTCAAGAGACTGCATGCATGTAAATATTTTAATCTAAAACCAGAGGTTAAAGTGGGATGGGAGGTGGGAAATGCACAGTAACACTTATCTCAAACAATGCCTTTTTATAGTGGTCTCAAATCAGGGGATGCTTTACCACTTTAACTGCAAGGAATGAGGAAGGAAGATGGACAGTCTGGGCTGATAGGAAACAAGGAGCTAGAGAGATTATAAGTGGCCCTTTTTGGGCTCTTTTCAATAGGCCTGGACCATTTCCATCTCCCTTCTTCATTCCTGGTCTCTAGCTGGACAATCACCATGGCCCGGTCATTTTCCTAACCCTATATAAACCAACCACTTCTCACTTCAGCCTTTGGGTTGGAGACAGTATGTTTCTCCGAAACACTGTCACAGCCCAGAAGACCACCATGATTAGATATGTGCAGGTGGTATGAGATTTATCATACAAAGCTTACTAATTTCTTGAGATGAAGTATAGTGCAAGGTTTCTTGCAGCGACTCCAAGTGAATAAAGTACCTTCATCTTGTGTTACTGTAACAACGAACTTTTGATTTGTGGAAGGCGTGTCGAGATTTGTAGCATCAGAGTTCCTTCCCAATACTATAACCTTTTCCTGCCGTGAATATATCACTACCCTGAACACAAAC